CATTTTTAAAATTATAGTAGCTCTCCTTAAATTATAATCTTCGATAATCTGAAAGCCAGATGATTCATTCATCTCTAACAGGTCATCTGCAAGGATTATGCTGCCAAATACCTTCCACATGAAGACCAATTCATCACACTCTGCCATCCTCGTAAGAGCAACATATGGTTAGACAATTTGAAGGTTACCACTGATGGTTCAGGCATGCTTTCTGCTGGCTGGTCAAGCTTCGCTCTCCACAATGAGTTGCGGGAAAGTGATGTTTGTGTATTCGAAGTATCAAAAAGCGCTGGTGAAATGACAATGGTTGTTCATTCTCTTGAAGGAGGCCATCACCTACAAGGTGAGTATGGGACACATTTTATACCTGCACATACGACATGAAAAATCAACGCTCAGGGTCACCAACTTATAGAGATAAGAATGTATAAGTCAGCTTAGAAATATAGTTCATTTCTTTAATAGCCAGCTAACGCATAAACCTCAGACAGCATGGAATCAATACTGAGCTAGTGTCTCTGTACCGGATCATTTTGGAATGCCCATTTGTTTGTTTTTTTACAGGGAAAGAGCCTGAATCTCAAAACAAGTGCGATTATCCTGTTAAGGGCAAGGCGATTAAGGAAGCTGAGAGTGACCATAAACATGATGAGTCCAAGTCCAACTACTACTACTCAAAGTATGCCAAGGGCCTGAGCGGCGAGGAGCTAGAAGAGATATTCAGGTCAGCGTTGATCCAACGGGGCAATGTGGTATACGTCACCATCCTGGGGAAGAATCAAGTTAGAATCAAGAACAACTTGCTGGTCAGTTCAGTTGTTCGACTAATCACAGACTGGAATACCTAGATGGTTTAGATAACAATCTTTGATAGACTTTCTGAACCGTCTGCGACAAAGCTTTCTGTACTAATAGCTTATGTTATGTACTATATATGCAGACCTTCCCCGAGAAGTTTGCAGCTAAGCATCTCGTGGAGAGGTCGCATGACATCCTGCTCCTGAGGCCCAACCGGAGTGAGACGTGGTGTGCGAGGTACTACTACCACCCGGAAAAACAGGGTTTCAACTACAGCTCCTGGACCAAGTTCGTCCGAGACAACAAGCTGCGCAAGGGCCACGTCTGTGTCTTCGAGCTGATGAAGGGCGTGAGTAAGGTGACAATGATTGTCCACGTGTTCACAAAGGTCGATGGCAGGTTCGTTCTGCTGGACTAACTGTCTAGGTTCCAGCCTAGTTGCATCCTCCTTAATTTGTCGTTGAATAGATGAACTGGGAGCTGAACTGGGAGTAGCTTGTGTACCAGTAGAAACTAGTTGTGTAGCCGTACTGTGTGAATGTTCATCCTGATTCGTCTGCGTTGGCTGTGATTTCAGAACCGAGAGAGAGGAGTATTTCAGCGCTTGTAGCACCTACTCCTACTCGACTGAAGTTTTCTTCAACGTAAGCTCAGTTGACTGAAATTTTATATTAGATCTAAGTGGATTCCCAGTTAGTCCCAGCTGAGTGTGCACATGTTACTCGAGGGCTAGTCTCAGCTAATCGACGACGAAAAATTGTTGATTTTAATTCGTGTGTTCTTGTGTGGGTTCTTCAAGTGGCGATCGAGTAGGAGAAACTGATTGCTCGTTGCAGTGATCTGGTTCTCGCGACTGCTCTGGTTATCTGGTTCTCGCGCAGTTGCAAAAGTCTGCAATGGCTTACGCTGATGCCTGCGTCTGGGAATCTTCTGATTCCTTTTCTACGCACAAGTTCAATGAACGACATGCATGTTTTTTCCTCCGGTTTTGCAAAGTAAGAATTATTATTTATGGTTATTTCCAATCCATAGACATACCGGGTTTCGCAATTTCAGAAATTTGTCAGGTAAAATGGCCAATCACGACGTCAGCAGCAAGAATAATTGGCGTAGGGGTTGTCAGTTTTAGAAATTTATTGCTTAGATATTCTGTTTTGGGGAC